CTGGTCTCTAAGGTTCTGTTCATTATTCTTCATTGTTTTACTTCCCTCCCAAAGCTCATTAATGTCAATTGATTTATCTCTAAATTTGCTGATTTTTTTTCTCCTTGATCAAATCTGTTGTAATCCTTTGGTAAATTTTTCATTTCAGTTATTGTACTTTTCAACTCCAGAAATTCCGTTTGGTTTCTTTTTAATAATTTTTCTATATTGCTATTCTCTATTTTTTTCATGTTTGTTTATTTTGAGAGAGAGCACATGAGCAGGGGAGGGGCAGAGAGGGACAGAGAGAGAGACTCCCAAGCAGGCTCTTGCTCAGTGCAGAGCCCAATGCAGGGCTTGATACCACGGCCGCAGGATCACGACTCAAGCTGAAATCAAGAGTCAGACATTTAACCAACTGAGCCACCCAGGTGACCCCCCACCTTTATTTAATGTTTGTTTATTTATTTTGAGAGAGACAGCACTAGCAGGGGACTGGCAGAGAGAGAGGGAGAATCCCAAGCAGATGCTGCACTGTCTTCACAGAGCCGGATATAGGGCTTGAACCCACAAACTATGAGATCATGACCTGAGCCAAAACCAACAGACACTTAACTGACTGAGCCATCCCATCACTCCTGATACTCTCTATTTGATGAGACCTCATTACTATGGTTTCCTTTAGTTATTTTGTACTTGATGTAAAGTCTTATAAGTCCAATGTCTAGGCTTCCTCAAGGAAGTTTGTTTTTTCCTGTGTATAGGCCATATTTCTTACTTCTTTTCATGACTCCTCATTTTTGTTGAAAACTGGACATTAATATTATAATGTAGTGCCATTAAAAATCAGATTCTCCTTTCCGCAGGGTTTTTGTTCTGCTTGTTATTGATCTGTTTAGTGATTTTTCTGAACTAATTTTATAAAAGTTTGAGTTCTTTCTGTATGTGTATGGCCGTTGAAGCCTTTTAGCTTAGTGGTCAGATAGTTATTTAAAAAGAGATTTTCTGAGGTCCCTGGCTGGCTCTGTCTGTACAGCATGCAACTCTTCATCTTGGAGTTGTGAATTCAAGCCCCACGTTGGGTGTAGAGATTGCTTAAAATAGAATAAAATAAAAATCTTTAAAAGATTTTTCTTTGGGTGCCCGGGTGGCACAGTCGGTTAAGTGTCTGACTGTGGCTCAGGTCATGATCTTGTGGTTTGTGAGTTCGAGCCCTGCGTCGGGCTCTTTGCTGACAGCTCGGAGCCTGGAGCCTGCTTTGGATTCTGTGTCTCCCTCTTTGTCTCTGCCCCTCCTCCATTCCCTCCCTCTCTCTCTCAAAAATAAATAAACGTTAAAAAAATTTTTTTTAAATACAATGTTTCTTAAATACCTATGAACAAAAAAATTCAGTCTTTGTAGGTAGATTCTTGTTTATGTTGAGGCATACCTTCAACACTCAAGCAGTTTACAGCTTTCTTAGCCCTCATTTTATGTGCATATACTGAAGGTCAGCCAGAGTATAGGGCCTTCACAGGTCTTTTGTTTTTTTTTTTTAATGTTTATTTATTTATTTTGAGAGAGAGAGTACTTGCGGGAGGGGCAGAGAGAGAGGAGGAGAGAGATAATTCCAAGCAGACTCCGTGCTGTCACTACAGAGCCTGACATAGGGCTCTATATCACGAACCATGAGATCATGACCTGAGCTGAAATCAAGAGTCAGACGCTTAACTGACTGAGCCATCCAGGCACCCCTCAGGTCTTTTCTGAGCATGCTCCCAGCACTGGACTTGCCCAGGGCCTTGGTTCCCTAGAATATGCAGGAGCTTTTCAAAGCCCTTATGCCCAAAGTATTTACTTCACCCATCTTTTTTCCCATGCTTTTTTCTTGGTGTTTTGTTTGCCACATCTCTTCTTCCTTGCCCTAGGTGGCTTTGGCTGCTATATTTGCCTTTAACTGTTTTTAACAAATGCCAATCCGACACTTTAGAATCATAAATTTATATACACAATGGAATACGTGGCAATGAGAAAGAATGAAATATGGCCTTTTGTAGTAACATGGATGGAACTGGAGAGTGTTATGCTAAGTGAAATAAGTCATACAGAGAAAGACAGATACCATTTGTTTTCACTCTTATGTGGATCCTGAGAAACTTAACAGAAGACCATGGGGGAGGGAACGGGAGAAAAAAAAGTTAGGGAGGGAGGCAAACCTTAAGAGACTTAGAGACTGAGAACAAACCGAGGGTTGATGACAGGTGGGTGATGGGTATTGAGGAGGGCACCTGTTGGGATGAGCACTGGGTGTTGTATGGAAACCAATTTGACAATAAATTTCATATTAAAAAAATAAAATCATAAATTTTATGGTATTTGGACTATATACCCAATTTTTAAAAAAATATTTATTTTTGAGAGAAAGAGAGAGCATGAGCAGGGGAGGGCCAGAGAGAGAGAGGGAGACACAGAATCAGAAGTAGACTCCAGGCTCTGAGCTTTCAGCACAGAGCCCAATGCAGAGCTTGAACTCACAAACTATGTATCATGACCTGAGCCAAAGTCAGACGTATAACTGACTGTGCCACCCAGGTGCCCCCTCCCCATTTTTTTTTAATAAGCTCTATACCTAGCATGGGGCTTGAACTCAGGACCCCAAGATTAAGAGTCACATGCTATATGAACTGAGCCAACTAGGTGATCCTATACGCAGTTGTTGGTTTGTTTTTTTTTAGTGTTTACTTTTTGAGAGAGAGACAGAGTGTGAGTTGGGGAGGGGCAGAGAGAGAGAGGGAGACACAGAATCTGAAACAGACTCCAGGCTCCAAGTTGTAAGCACAGAGCCCAACATGGGGCTCGAACCCACGAATCATGAGATCATGACCTGAGCTGGAGTTAGACACTCAACCGACTCAGCCACCCAAGCACCCCATCCTATACCCAGTTTTTAAAAACAGCAGAACATGCAGAGGATCCAGTATGAAGAATGTGGTCCAAGAAGGGTCAAGAACAAGTCATAGAAAAAAATTTAAAATTTGATACATCACGTTATATTAGAATACCTTATGTTCAATAATTGTAAGTTGTCAACATTCTGAAAGAAAATGATCCTTAACCCTCTGGCTTTCACCTGGCTGGCTGTAGCCAGAAATTTGGTCAGCAGTTGTTCCTTCCCTCAGCTGTCTAAGATACAAGATTAGTGTTTGGGCTCCAGTTTGTTCTTTTTGGTTTCAGTTATGATTTGTTTCCCAAATATTGCTTAATAAAATAGTTTTATTTAGTCCTTTATGGACTCTTTCTCTAGGATGTATGTCAAAGCCACAGCTTGTTTGATGAAGTGATAATGAGCAAAAAAGCTGACCTAGAGCCTTGTCAAATACAGGGATTGGGCCCTTTTTGCTAAGCACTGTTGATATTTTCTTTGTTTACTGGTAGGCATCAAAGAGAGAGGGGAGTCCTTTGGGATTCTCAGACTATAGAATTTCCTGAGCACATTTTTCATGGTTTACATAAGCTTGTGCTCATAAATTGAATGGACTTTAAAAAAAAAAATAGATTGCCTTTACATGTAGATATAATTTGATTACAGAGGCATATTTATTTAATTTTTTTTAAAGAGACATTTTATTTTTTTAATGTTTATTTTTGAGAGAGAGAGAGAGAGAGCACAAGCAGGAGAGGGGCAGAAAGAGAGGAAGACCTAGAATCAGAAGCAGGCTTGAGGCTCTGAGCTGTCAGCACAGAGCCCAGTGCGGGGCTTGAACTCACAAGATTGTGAGATCATGACCTGAGCTGAAGTTGGACGCTTAACCGACTGTGCCACCCAGGTGCCCTTGTTTTGCTATTTTTTTTGAGAGCACATGCATGCAAGTCGGGGAGAGGTCAATAGAGGGGGTGACAGAGGATCCAAAGCAGGCTCTGCGCTGACAACAGACAGCCCAGTGTGGGGCTCAAACTCACAACCCCGAGATCAAGAGTCACATGCTTTACTGACTAAACTAGCCAGGTGCCCCTTTCTTAGATTCCTTTTATGGACTTAACCTTAAGAGTACGTATGTATAATGAAAACTCATACTATTCATATAATGTGAATTTAGTCTCTTAAGCTGGGGCTGGGGTGTTTATATCCTGAAACACACAGGTATTTTCTGAAATACTGAATACTACAGACAGTAGCATCATGGTAGTGACATCTGTATTTGTTAAGAGGTCCTCAAATATAAGTTACTAAGAACTGCTGCCCTAGTTATTTATTATTGTATACATGTGAAAGAGAAGCAGAGACAGACTGAGATTTATGTGCTAAGGTGTGGGTAGAATGAAAATAATAGAAGGCACTATAAAAGCAGACAGGACAGAAAACAGAGAATGAATATCTTTGATAAAAAAGTTTTAAAAAAATAATGAATTAGGACTGGCAATACATATAGAGCAAGTGCTCCCTGAACCTTACCCAAGGAAAACACTATTTGTGGTAGGATGTTTTAGTTTTTAGTGTTTTTCTTGATTATAACTGGAGTAAGAACACCTGAAGTTTTTTAAACTCTATTCTCATATTAGGTATGCTGATTTCTTCCTTTGGCACAGGTCACGCTGCTGTTTGAATTTATGTACAGGTGACTCATGTAAACTCATTTTTAGCAATTTCATACTTAATGAATTGGTAGAATATTGTAGAATCTGACCCTTAAGTTTTACACTTTTGGCCAGCACTGTATCAGCTGGTTTAGATCATGTTATCATTTAATGAATAGTATATAAGAAACCCAGTCTACTGTATTAGATATTGTTGTGTTTTTACTCACATAGAAAGAGATTAGATGCTTGAACTAGTTGGAGTCTGGTAGTCCTTTGTGGCTGTGCACCTGCTTGCTGTTGCTTTGAAGGTGGGTGAGTCTATAGCCCTGGGAAGGAAGAAGTCATAGAAGCTGACTTATCCATAACAGGTCTTTAGGTCCATTGGTGCAGCAAATTTCAAGGCTAAGAGAGGAAGACTGCTTCTGATCCCTGTAGGAAGGGGAAGCAGGAAAAGAAATCTCAACATGGAAAAGGTCTCCCAGGAAAGCATAGGAGAAAAGCAGGCTGCAGTGCAGAATGCAGAAGAAGCCCATCCTTTGGGAAGTGGTGAAGGCCAGGAGCTTGGAGGAAATATTAGAACAGGTTGGGCCTCACCTGCCCATGATGTTAGACAGGATATGCCCAATAGGCTTGTCAGTAACCTTGATATGATAGATGGAGTTGCTGATGATATGGAACGGTTCATGGAGGAGATGAGAGAGATAAGGAGGAAAATTAGGGAGCTTCATTTGAGGTACAGTTTGCACATTCTTATAGGACATCCCCCTCATCCTGACTATCGTGATGAGTTTTATCTTCTGCCTTGAATGCTGAGGTTAATATTAATAATAAAACCTCCTGCTTCCCAAAGTAACGTTTTCTTGATGTACCCTTTGCTGTGAATCTGGTGTTCTGTCATATTTCTTTCTTTCTTTTTTTTTTTTTTTTTTT